CCTCTTCCTCCCCTCTTTCTCTTCCCTCTACCTACCCTCTGAGGGTCTTGTCTTTTCCGTTTCACCCCTCCACAGGGAATCCCTTGTGGATGACTCACTGAAAACACTTCCTACTGAACAACGCAAACAGGCCCACGGGCTAACAGCAGCGGCGTGCGCACACGTACACAACAACAAACACACACATGCACTGGATGCGCACAGTTTGCATCAGTTATCCTGTGGGTTATGGAGTGGAGCAGTGGGGCTGGACATGGCATTTGAAAAGTAGAAGTAATTATTTTTCGAGGCGCATTAAGGTCTCCCGCAGTGGCAACAGCTATGAGCTGTGCTCATTTGATACTGAGGACATCTCAGGGGGGGGACAGAGAGACAATCAAAACAACACAGGGAGAGGGAGAGGAGGATTAAAGTGGCAGCGGAAAACCAACAAAGAGAAACTATGATTTACTGTACTGGTACAGCAGGTTAAAAGAATAAATATACGTAGGTATTTCGAAAGGTCTCCCATTTATCTACTTTCCCATTAAGAGATAACACCAAAATGAACTATTTGCCCTTCAGAGATCATTTGTACTGTGGCATGTAATCATTAAAACAAACACTACTGTATGTTCCCACCAGTTTCTAGCTTTTAAAAAGTCTGTATCACCCATATTTACTATCTTTTTCACAAATCTTAAATTAACATCTCTTAATGTTTATCAGATTTTATATTATTTTTCTCTCTTTTAGGATAATGCCAGGGGCTCGGGTCCCCAAACAGATGTAAACTAAAGTGGTAACATGGCGCACCAGTGTCAGTGATTTGCCAAGGACTGGTGGATGTTTTTGGTGTCTCTGTTCTTATTAACCAGAAAGTGTTAATGGAACAATCTCTCAAACGTTGGTGTCATCCATTATTTAAGACTTCAGTAATGAATTGATATCACTTCTGTTGTTTTCAGAGTGGCAGTTCAGAAACAGGCATCTGGGTATGTTTGTGCTAAAAGCAGCTACATCATTGAGTGTGTGAAAGCAAATGGAAACAGTTGAAGAAATACATGTATTTATGATTTATGGCCATCTCATTTGGGCTAATAGGCTTTTGTTCTGTGTGTGATCTCCGTCTGACTCAACTTGGACGATTTTAACTGAATGTAATTATTCACACAAGTTGGATTGGGACACTCAAAACCCGTCTGTTGCTCCTTAGGATTTGTGGAATTTTCTGGAAGGTGTTTATTGGAGTCAATTTTGGAAAATGAGCAGCCGTCCTGACCTTTGATGGCAGCGACAGTCATGGCTGTCACCACTGTGGCGAAAGCAGTGATTGGTGTTGTGCTGTACAAAGCGCTCGGCTGTGCATGCGCATGTGCGTGTCCCACTGTGTGTATAAGCACATGTCTGCGAGTAGTAATTATTGCGGTGCATTGCTCTGTATTTCATGGGTGCACTTAGTCATGAACTTTTCCAGAGGAAAATAAAACCAACATTATAGAATAAATCTGTAATATAATTATAATTTTATTGGATTCTTCTTTTTCCCTTATTCCAGTTTGGTCCTTCTAAATCAACAATCAGAGAAATTTTCAGTCTGTGAACCTTCATGAAACAGCAGGATTCTCTGATTAAAATGCCAAAAGACGATATTTTGCAGTATATCTGGGTCATAAGTACTTTTCCACACTCGTACTTGCTCATAGATAGTTGCCATTAGTGAGTGATGTGTGTGTTCCTGTGTGTGCATGTGTGTTGGTCTGTCCGTAATGGGCTCTTTGACTTAGGAGACCCTGGAAGTGGTGGGTCATTAAAGTTTACATAAAAGCAGACTAAGTAGTAGACAGACAACCTCTCTTTCGATCTCTCTCTCTCTCTCCTTCTCGACACCACAGAGACGGAAAACAAACCACTGAAATGTAGATGGCAGGCACGAGTGTGGGGATCCCGCTAGCGCAGAGCTCCACACTGGCTAATGTCTTTAACGGGTATCGAGGATAGAGGTAAGAAGGGTGGAGGATGAGGGAATGAAAGAAGAGAATAAGAGGAAGCAGGGGGGAAAGACAGAGAGGGGGTGAAAAAAGGGTAACACAACCTAGAAGGGGTCATGAGTCTCAAATAGCAGGGAGTGAGAGAGGCGAAGGTGTTGTGTATGTATGGGCTTTCCTCTCCAGGGGATCCCCCTCCATGACTAAGTAAAGCCAGGAGGAGGGAGACCCCATATTACCAAGTTCAACCACCTCCCCTTACCCCATCCCTACCTATCCCTTATCCCCTAAGGTGCTTAAGAGTACTCACACAGGGTGAGTAGAGAGAAGTCTTTTTTTAGCATGTCGTCCTTTTTCAGTCATTTTCAAGAACATATTTCTTTTTAATTTGAGGAAATTGAGTAATGACTAAAGCCAGTCTTTTTCCATTCTAATGATGAGACTCAATTTTACGTGAGCTTTGATGAACCAGTGATGAGGGTTCATATATTTTCTACTGATTCGGGTAATTAATTCATCATCGAAAGTAGGTAACTGAACATGATTTGGGAGAAGTGGAAAGTAAGTCCCATTTTCTCATGTACTGTACATACTAGGAGGACTTAAAAATGTCTGTTTTCCATGAAGAGGTTCCATACAAAACTGACTGTCAAGTATTTACTCTGATATCCAGCTTTATTTTTGTAAATAAGTCCACGTAGGGCGGAGGTCTGGGTGGATGGATGGGTCAAACAAACACAGGACTTTCACCTAAGAGACTGCTATGCGCGCCCTGTGTGAAACATGGCATTAACATTTTAACTTTCGTACATAACTTACGTAGCATACTTAGATGTCACGCACCTAACGTATTCAACTTACACCACATATATAGCAGAAGTTAACTTATGTACCTAACTTAACTTCACAACCGTAGTAATTTAACCTAAACTATGATCTTTTTTCTAAACCTAACCTAGTAGTTTTGGTGTTGAAACCTAAGCTAACAGTAATAGTAGTTATTGAATGTAACTCCAGTTCTATGAATATGTATGCCTGTTGCTGGTAGTCTCCATGGTCATGGTTAAATATGATGTTTTTTTGGAGTTATTAGTAAATGACATATTTTGCTGCATGAGGACGTGTTGATTTTGTCTGCTTTATTTTTAAATTTCACAAAAATCGCATTGTGACCTTGGTCTAGGAAGGATCAGAAGTGTAGATGGTGTTGAGGGTTATTAAGTATTTTTGTGAGTAACTAGATTCTTAACCAAAATCATCACCACAAATTGTGAAATCTATGATTAATCAATTGGTGGATACTATCAGAGCTGCTTCCCTCATCCCTCCTTACTTGTTGCTCATCATTAGCAGCATGGTAGTATTTCAACAGACTTCAGTGGTGTCACTGTGCTTGACCTTTGCTTTGATTTAATGGTTGCAATCCGGGAAATGATCATTCACTTGCAAACTTGATCAGTGTTTTTACCAGTGCTCCCTCCCACACAGGGAGGAAACGAATGGCTGAACAATCTGGACAAAATATAAAAAGAAACCCCATAATCATGAATCACAGATGCTCAGCTGGGGTGAGTATCCAGTAGAATGGGTGGAAGAGGGAGCTCCTGAAAGTAAGCGAGAGGGTTAAATGTCAAAAGCAAGGGATTCAGGGAGGGAGAGACAGCGAGGGAGAGAGGGAAAGTGAGAGAAAGAGACGTTGCACATGCCCTGGTTGTGATTCATTCCTTAACTTGTGGCGAGCACCAGTGAACAGGCAATGGAAACTTCAGCAAATGTAAATACGCTTTGGTTAAAAATATAGTGGCTTAATGCACACCACATGTGGCTCCTTGGCAGGGTCTGCTCTATTTTGACGGGAGGAGAGACTGAGGAAAGGCGATGGAGGCAGAGAGGGAGAGAGACATTCGAAAGAGATATTAAGAGGGGAAATTGAGAGGCAGTAAACATGGCTTACCCTGGGCCTTCTCCACGAACACCACCTTGGAGTCAGGGAGGAAGTTGAGGCCGCTCAGGAGCATCATTTTGCCTCCAGTGGCAGGGTAACTATCCACACTCTGTTTCTCCACCAAGGGAAGCTCCTGAGCTGAGCGCTGGGCTGTTTGAGGGGAAACACACACACACACACACACACACACACATTTCAATACAGTGTGTGAGCGCACATAAACTCACTGCCTGATCTCCATTCACTCCAAGAAGCACAAGCCCAGTGCAAAGCCAGTAAAACAGCAGTTCTTGGTTAGGAAAACATTCTTATCAACTTTATTATGATGATTTCATGACCCCTAGCTAAGAGGTTTTCAGCCAACAGCTGCTCTTTAAAATGATATCGAAAAAGGCGGACCACTGATCAAAACAACATTTTCATGATCTGATCCTTAGTCATAATTTTCCATCAAGAGGCCTACAGCCAACCACCTGTCTCTGCTTTCTATAACTGTAGTGAGCTAGTCACCTTTAGCCTCTGGGATTTGGTGACCAGATTCACAGCCAGAGTCTCATATATTTATTATCACAACTGTGCATTTAATCCATTATTATCCCATTGCACAATTTCAGAATAGGAACTCAAGTTCACAAATCGGATTAACATCCACTTTAGACCATAAACTACAATGCCAGCTCCATTTCACCATCTAACTTTAATTGGCTTCCTTGGGTGCAAATAACATCACACCTATATACACAAATGAATGACAAAGAAACAGAGGTTTCTTTCAATGCGTTCATTCAACCGCGCCAAAACTAGGGCTGGCAAATGACCTTTGTGGAACCTGTGCTAATGGGGTAGTCTTACCACAATAACTTGTGCATTCAGTCATAAAATGTGAATTGAGATAGATAACACGTGTGTCTGGCATGGTGTACAATGCATCTATTGCCTTGGCAAATTGCTTTGATCATATAAAGCTTATTGGCTGCAGAGGCGCTGAATTTGCTCCAGCAGGTAATAAAATAGCAGCTCAGTTTATTGGATTACAACAATAGATGCCACCTTTTGCTTAAGTGGAAAGCCAAGAGAAAAGGCATGCCAGTTTGTGAGTTTGTTTCTGTGTGTGTGTGTGACTTACAGCATTCAATGGGGTTTGAAGCAACCTGTAGGGACACCGTCCTGCCGTTGGGCTGGTTGATGTGCACTCGGAACACCAATCTCACACGCGTGTTTTTACGTCCGATGTCCGTCTCTCCTTTGCGAAGCTCAATGTCTGAATTGCGCAGCTTCAGGATCCCTGCACAATCAATTCTGCAACAGAGGCAGGGGAGGGCACAATTCAACACCATATCTAAAGATGACATTATTCAAGATAATGGAAAATCATTTTGGGGTTCAAGGCAGATCTGTATGCTATTACAAAGCAATTATCTCAAGAAAGCATCAGTCACTGCTTTTCTTACTACCCAATGTATGGTCACGCAGGACGCTCCCCTACAGAATATTTTTAACTGGAGGCACTGTATGGACAAAGGCTGACATGAGAGCAGTTTTGATTTAGACACTGAGCAGAGTAGCACATCAAGACCAGCAGTAAAGTCCCCGCTGGTGTTACAGATCACACACTGGAAATCTGCTGGAGCGTGACCGTGTCATTATTAATCCAGCATGTCATCAAAGACAGAGTTGGACATTAATGACTTCACATCGCAGTTTTAAAGGGTCACGGTGGTCCAAGAATTAGCCGTTCTCTGGAGGAATCCTCTGGACTGAGCACACCACCATCAAACAAAGTCCCATCAGCTGCAGTCAGTATACACAAAGTCACTTTATTGCTATCAGAGTGCAGCAAACCTCTCCAGTCCCTTCACACCACTGAAGCCTTACACTTCATATGTTTAAAACCCCTGCGTGTCGTTGCCATGTGTAGCATTAGTCTTTTTTTAAGCTGTCTGTCTTTAGTTCATTTTGCAGTTCGGGAGGTAAAGGCATAAATTTTCTTTCCCTTTTCTTAGTGGAAAAAAGGCTTTCATTTTCAGACATAACCTTTCGTGAATTTAAATGAAACTAGTGTGGCTGGTAAAAAAGCGAGGGAATACAAATGGGATATGGTTTGGCATTTCAATTATTTTACATGGTAGCTTGTTGGCACTCTTCCTGGAACATGGTAAATGTCAGGTTTTATACTAATTCATTTCTCCCCTTGACTTTGGTTTGGACAGTCTGAATAAAAAAGAAAAAATAACATGTAATGCTGACTACCCACACCTTATCAACTGTAAGTAAGTGATGTGTGGTGAATTTAGTTTTAAAGCATAAACAAGTTGATGGACATCATGGATTATCTTGAAGTCAGTTTTCATAGACTAGTCTTCTCTGCCAGCAATGTAACAAGACAGTCAAAAATGTATTCTAAGCATCACCTTACTGATAAGGTTACAGGCATTTATGATCAAACAGCATGATATGAATTCGCAGAAGGGTACGTACTATTTTAAATTAAGCTACCGTATGTGTTTGAGATGGATTTTCCTAGAAAAGGAGAGAAAGAGATTGAAACTGTCTGAAAGTTTGATTGCAGTCCCCCACTGTCTGCATCCCACACAGCGAGCAAATGATTGCTGGCACGAGAGCAGAGGGATGGATGCTGCGTTATCAAGGCGACTGTTAAACAGCTCAGTGGAAAGAGACAGTTAAAGGCTTTTCTTTGACCTTTCAGATAGTCGGGGGAGAAAGAGAGAACTTTCACTCCTCTTCCTTTAGCGTGTGCGCTGACGACAAAGGGGAACAGAAACTTCCTCTAGAATATTTTTTCAATATCATATTCATCCCGAGGGACAGATTAAGTCAAATGGGTGAGGGGCGACCCTAAATATGATACAATATAAGGGATATTGTGGTATTGTTGGAAATGATATTGTAAGGCAGTGCGCATGTTAAAATCATCCACGCTCCAGAAGACAACTGCCCTGAAACTTTTATGTCCTATTAATATCCAGAATCTTCTGCATTTACACAAACATTCATTAGAGATGCATTAAATCATTATATAGGCTAGTATTTTTACAAAAAAATCAAGTCTTTTAAAATTTCAAACAACGACAGATAAATTTGAGGTGCAGTAAGAGGTAAAGGTCTTATGTAACCTATGCAGTGGTTTTATCCATAAGCCAGAGTTCTGGGCCCCAGTCCAAAATAATTCACTGCAGCCTTGTCTGAATGGAGCCCCAGGACAGGAGCTGCTGCCTGGACACACCGCAGAGCACAGTCCCTTAGATTACTGCAAGTCTGGAGGAAGGATGCGAGAGGCCATGGCTGAGTTAGCTAACGTATTAAAAGGTAAACTAAAGTTATATTTAGGAGAGATCTTCATGCAATTTTAACCACACTTTCACTAAGTAAAATATGTCTAGAAATTTCTGATTCAGCTTATAGACCACCACAACTCAAAATGAGCAGATGGCCACCTTAATTTGAGACAAAGTTAGCTTGTTAGCTAGCTCATTTTGCAGTACACACTAACATTAGCATTTATGTTAGCCTTAATTTATATGCCAACATTTGTCGTAGTAAATGTTGGCAAGCAATGGCAAATTGTGTGTCATTACAACCTTCAAGTGCTACAGGGCTAACGTTAGCTAACGATACTTTAGCTGTCAACGTTAGCTGAAGAATGGAAACACAAGAGCTACAACAGCTTACAATAAGCTCAATTTGAATGTTTTAAAATGTCTCATGTTTACATTCACATAGTCTTTCCCTAAAAGTCTCTTGTTGGTCATGGTGTTACAGCTGAATAAGTTTTATTGTATTGTACTGTGTATGCAAGCTTACTGACACACTGTCATTTCTGGGACAACATAATTGAACGGCATCATCGTTACTGTTACTAGTAACACCTATGTTTTTCCCCACTGCGACAAGTCAAAATGGGTGCTATTGATATTACTAAGAGACATACATTTTACTCCATGAGTAATTTCCTTTATATATTTTTATGGTCTTAAATTAACATTGCTTTGCTTTTGCTAAATGGCTACCACAATTGCCAGTTCTGGGCCTTATGACTGCAGCATAATTTTGGGGTGGAGTATTCCTTTCACCAGACCTGTTAGTTCAGTAGACCGAATGACTGCGACGTCACCACATCCACCTAACACCTTCGAGGAAATGATTAGCCACTGTTTTGAATTGCAAATGTGTAAAATCAGCAAACTTTTTTATTTCTGTTGTCATCTTTAGCTCCAGGTGTAACTGTAACATTTAAAGATATGTAGTAAAACACCATGGTCCGACCTATCTGGCATTTCTGTTGTGCTTATTTTATGTACCCTGTTACTTTGCTAGCATCTTTGATAAACCTAAACTACCTGCATGGAAACTAAGCTGTGTTTTATGCTGCAAAAAACTAACCAATTCAGGCAGTGTTTGCGTAGTGCCGTTATATTTTATTTGTTTTCTACCTGGAAGTTATTAACATTGGGATTCATTCTATATACTCAACAGGCTGACAAATATTGACCAAGCTTAATGTAATGGGACTGCGGAACTCTCAGCATGTCATGGCTGTATTCTAGTTGTTACTTTTTAAGGTATTATTTGTGCAAATGTCCTATATTTGACACCCATGAGGGCTCCTGGTTGGACAATTACTTCGCAGCTGCAATAGCCTTTAGAGTCCCTGTATAGTTTGGTCAAAATTCAGTCACCCATGAACTCTGTGTGTTGACACATAATGGGCCTTTTCATTTCACTTCCTCAGAAACCATGCTTCTCTTCGGGTGAAAGCACAGATCTGAGTTTTGGAGGTCTATTCAGAAGTGTGCGCTGTACAGTACCTATCATCAAGCATTCTGTTTTTAGAACCAAAGCACATAGGAAGGTGCTGAGAGAGAGAAGAGTGTGTGTTTTTTGTGGGTGTGTTTCAAAGTAGGGGATATCAGTGAGAAATGTGAAAAGAAAAAGATTGATAGGCGACTCATGGAGGTCCAGGAGCACTCACATGGCTCTCATGTTGTTTTCAGGCAGCAGAGGGATCTCCAGAACTTTGGTGTTGGATTGCATGACTTCATGGCTGGCAGTGGAGACGGTCTTGCCAGTGATGCGGTGAACCTGGTAGAAGGCATGTGGTCGCAGGAGGCGGTCGTCTGCGGTCCCTATGAACAGCTGGAGGGTGAGCGGCTCGCTTTCCATGTAGCCATAAAGCTGGCGGGAGAACAAAGGTACCCAGGTGAGAGGCAACATCAGATTTTAAGACCCACATCTCAGGCAACCCCTCATTTAGGAAATAGAGATTGAATGCACATCAGCTACTGATAGTTAAAGGGGCCTTTAATGATAGCTCTGACATGGTAGAGGGGCTGCAAAAATAAGCCCCTTTTCTTTGTTTGTTTTTAGGTTGGGAAGGAGACCCTCTTTTCGATGGTCTTTGTTCTTTTTTTTTTAACTAGTTTTACATTCCTTTAGGAGAGAGTAAAAGAAAGTTTTTGGATGTCTCTGAGTCTGTCTGGGGTAAGGAACTCCTTGTTACAGAGATATGGAGGCTGATGGAGAGGCCGGCTTCCCATCACTTCACTGTTCATTAAAATCTCACTGCTGCTATTTAAAAAAAGTGCCTACAGAGAGGCAAGCAGTCAAAAGTGACTCAGTGGAAAGTGACCTTAGATAAAATAAGAAACCAGGGCAATCGTCTTAGGTCTACCTCAAGAGACGTTTTTGGACCGGAGCATCTTTTTCATAGTTGAACGAACCCACTTCTAAGAACCCCCTTTTTTGTTGTGTTCATACTGCAAGAACCGGGGTCCTCGTAGTCCTTAGAGCGCCATTTTGAGGGACTTTTTATAGAGTAGGTACTCCCACAGCACAAAAGTAGCCATGAGTGACTTAAGTGTACAACAACGGTGAGACCAATTCAACACCAGCAACCGCCATTTTTAAAAACACACACAACAGCTCGAATTGAAAATAAAAAAAGAAAGAAAGAAAACACAGACAACTGGACTGACAGTGTAGCCTAGCCTTTGCCGAGCATATATTTGACGATGGAAATAGAATGGGATTTTGACTCTAAAGTGAAGCTGCTATGCCAGCTGCTGGCTAGCTTACGATAGGTGACTTTAGTATTCTTTTTAGCGGTGCAAATGCAGACAAAAAAAACCCCTTGAAGGTACATATTTCCGGAGGAGGTCCCCAGTAGGTCGTACCTCTCAGGAAGTACCCAGAACAGTTTGGTCCAAAAATGCCTGTGGTGAGATCGATAAAGTTTATATAGTTTGATAGGCTCCCTGTATGTATGAGTTGAAGCTGCAGGATGGAATGAAAATTCAAACACTGACAAACAGTACTTTAATATCATTAGTGTAAATAAAATGTAAACAAAATATTTTCTGTCTTTCTATGACAAATATTAACATAATGGTACAGTTGTTGCCAAATTCATCAAACTTTACAGCTAAATAAAATAACACCCAAACACTTCATGGAGCTTGGAATGCAGACGGGACCCAGCCCCTTTACCTTTGGGCAGTTATGAACATGCATTATGATTTCCATTAAAGCTCCGAGACTGTGTCCCACTGTGATGAAAGAGACTCCTGTATCAGAACCACCACTTCAAACAACTACCACTTCCTCTTGAAGGCCTCCATTAGCTGCTACTGCTCAAGTAATAAAAAGATCAAATCTTTTAAAAAAGAAGAAAAACTCCACAGCCACACATAGTTTGAAAAGTACTGTTGACTTTTGGGGTCAACAGCACTTCAAATATAAAGTGTAACTGCCAATTTACATTCAGCATCCCTGGATTATTTTCTGACAGTGTCTAATGTAACATTATTTGATGATTTAACCGAGTGTGTAATGGGTCAAAAATATGAACACACAGGCAGGTCCCAAATTCAAAAGCGTGGTGAAGGAGAGCTGATACTTTGTGAGGGATTTCTGACCAGAATACTTTACCAACCAAATGTGGATTTCTGTTGGAACTGAGTTTTACACTGCAGACCTCCCAGGATATACTTGCTCTGTGCAGTGGTCATTCGGTCATATGGGCGGATGTTGGTGTGGACTCAGAAATCTGAAAACTGCAGAATCCATCTAGTTCAAACTGAGAGAAAACTGAGAGCTTCTCATCGAGTGGACCTCCGCGGATCCACCCAGGTGGCTACTTGACCGCATGTGACATTTACTGTGAGGGATCACTTACTGTAGACCAAGTTTCACTAGGCCACGGCCATCTGAAAAATCCCACAAATTGGTCAATTACCCCGGCGCATACCAACGCATCGCTTCAGACCAATTTTCTTTGAGATCCATCCGAGTGAAAGCAGTGGTACCGTGGAATGGAATAAAAGACCCCTGTTGTTTATCTAAAAGACTGAGTCATATAACAAAATGCAGACCACATGTAACCTATGACATAATCTGATTAATGGGTTTATAATCATCTCTGTGAAAGCGGTCAGAGCTGGGGTGTGAGGAAGAGGTAGGCTGGTGGAGGACTGGGGAGCTACGTCATTAGTAGTCTGTGGAAATTAGTGCTGCAGTGTCATGGACACCTAATGTCTTTGGTTTGAGAACAAATTTGTCTGGATACTGTATTAAAAGTTGTCTGGTCCGATAATAAACTTGAAGGTTAAACGCCTTTGGTCTGTACTTGATGACAGATCTTTTGGATTTGGGACAAGGCAGAGGATGTGTTCTTTTTCTTCCCACTAGAACAAATTTCAGAATTAATTACGTTGACTAAAAATAGGACATGACTAGCTGCTGGAGTAAAGCATATATCCATATGTCTCAATAATCTGAGCAAGAATGGTTATCTGGCTTTGCTTTGATTCAGATATCGTTGAAGTGCAAAGGGAGTGGTAAAGCTAAGGCTGTCATTCATCTCCATTTCCAACCATCCTATTTTTCTCTTCAGCTCCACATAGTGTCTCTAGCAGCTGTCTTGACCCTGTGAGCTAGTCACACATGCTAGTCATCAGTGAGTTAGGCCGAGGTCAGGAGCTTCTTGAAGTCTTGGCATCCCAAGGGACCACTTCATCTATGTGGTGATCTCACCAGCAGACCCCGCTCTGCTTGTTATATTTTACTTATGGTGTCACCAGAGGTAATTATCCATAGCCACACATGCTACCAGTTACTTGTGTATTGACTCGTGAGAGCACTATAGTGGAGGCACAAATCCGAAACACCGGAGCGTTAAATTGCATGACGTTCCCTTATGATTTAATAAAACGCAGGCAGCCGCGCTACAAAGCCGTGTCGTCTGTCACTTTTGCCTCGGCAGACTTCTTTGGATATCTCGGTGACCTCCAACCATTACCTCAGCCGCCACGTGGCTGTAAGGAGGCCCACAAGAGAGGCAGGGGGGAGAGGGGGGTCTTTATCCCTTCACTCGTCTTGCGGTAGCGCACTATGACGGTGGCATCCACACTCAAAGCCGTAGTGACCTCATGAAGGAGAGGAAGTGATTAATGAGGTCAGGTAGTCCTCTTGGTGACGCTGGTCTTCCCAGCAGCAAAGGAACGTGGTCTAGTCCCCCCTAGGCGACCTCCCCCGATCCCTTTACCATATGTGCTCCTCTGACCCTCTCCCTCTTTGCTTCAGCTAAACTCCTTGTGATGCTCACTCAAATGCGCACCACAAGCAGAGCGCAAAACTTACTTCTTCATTTAATTCTCAAAGGGGGGATAAGATGAGGAAAAAAAGCGGAGATAGTGTCGTAAACTTTAAGCGTGGGCTGACGACAGAGGCTTCACACACACCTGTGACCTCAGCTCTGTATTTGTGTCTAATGCAGCCTGTGAGGTTGGAGCAGAGCAAGGCTAATTTTGACCAGATGAGCTTTTCGAGCTGTAACTGCAGCATATCTGGCAAACGTACCGTATATTTATTTTTGAGATAATCTAAACCGAGTTTGAATCGAGCCTTGATTTGCAGCTGTTTCAGGGTGCCAACTTCTGCCACTGTGTCAGCTAGATCCATTTACACCTCCCACCGCAAGCCACTGCTGCACGAGCCATTTCTGATAGCTGAGGCTCAAGTAAAACATTGTGGATATGGCAGCTGATGCATTAATTGTGTAATTGTAAGCAGCTGTATTGTCTGGGTCAGTTGGGATGATGTGGAGGGGTGTCGAGCTAAAAAAAAGGAGAGGAGGGTACATCCTGTCCACTTTCCACCATTCATCTCTTGGTCCCTTTGGACCATTACAGATACATCATTGGTATCAAAAGTTTCAGACCCTGATACACAGCCCCCAAAGCTTTTTTTCCCTCAATTTTTTTACTCACTCAAAATCTATTGTAATAAAATAACATCAGAGGGTGTTTTTTAACTGTTTTTTTTTTCATAGCACATTTTCTCTTTCAATTTCTTTAGTTGCAGTGACATTCTCAATGCTGCCTACGCCTGGCTTAGATAGTCCAAAGAAAGGATTTAAACATGTAATATTTAATAATGACTTGCTGGTTAATTAGATGTGTCTGGCCTTGCTAGAAATTGAGAGTGAATACACTCTACAGGCCTGCAGTGGGCTGCCTTCTATCCCTCCGCAGTGATTTCATCACTGCCTGGAGAAATGTCATGACTCGAAGAGGTCCACGTGGCGCAGAGAATTGGGGGAGAGGAGAAGCAGGAGACGACTGGAAGCAGCAGAGGAGGAGAAGGGGGGCGTGGGGTGGGGACTGAAGCAGGGGAGGAGAAATACAACAGCAGATTCAGGCTTTTTCCCATTATCACGCTCCTCTCTCTCTGTCAAGTGCTGACAGTCACACAGCCAGCCTTTGCTGTATCCAATTAAATGTACACTCATCCAAGTTGTCTCTCCTTCCAGACTTTACTCCATCACCCCTCTGCCCCTGCTAATGTCTCCAGTGCCTCGTATTGAATGCGTAAGGCAACATATGCAATCCTTTAATGCAATGCATATCCATAGCTCAGAAAGCTGCTCCTTTTTTATAAGCAACCAAACAGCTATATCCCTCAAAGTTTTTGTTGAACCGAGCCCTATAGTGTTATGTCATTGAGGGCATAGTTTCAAGCACAAGCCCATGTCTAGACCAGTGAGGGTCCAAATTCCATATAAAAAGAATGGCTACGTTACCCACACAGCCTGCCATTAGAAATATCATCCAAACCTACGGAGGATTTGAGTAAGATGATGCACGGATGATTGCTGTGCCCCCCAATAGCACAAGTCCCCACCAGCGTCTTAGCCCATAAATCTGCGGGCTGTCTGGTTATCACCTCAAACCAGTGAAAACGATGCACATTTCGCTCCATTTTTTCCACTTGCTATTAACCGGTAATTAGTGGTAGCCCAATACCAGTGTAAGGGAAGCCCCGCAGATGGAGAACCGCAATTTAAGAGTGGCATAAATACCCCCTTGGGCAACGAATAACAGCCCTGACTAAGCTGTAACAGCACTACAGGGTACGCCGGGCCTTTTGAATATCAAACAAGAGGCGGCAGTATTTAATGAGCAATTAGCAGCTACAGTGTAGGATGCTGTAGATCAGAGGGTTTTCTTTGAGACATTACGCAGCCAGCAAGCACCGGATCCCAAGGTGAAACCGCACATGCGAAGAGCCGAGTGCACGTATGCCTAGGTCTTTCATGTTGTCGTGGCGGAAACATACTGCAAATTTGATGTGCATTACATACAGTTGCAGAGGAAGGGAGATGGGTATTAAGTCACGCACACGTTAATAGGGATGATGGCCACATCCTGCTGAAATTACACCATGTCTGTTGCTGCTTTAAATTTAATGAGAGGCTGAGTGTGTGTATGCGTGAGGGGGGAAAGCCCTATAGGCCAGTCATTATCCTATACGAACTCACCATATGCAGGACTGCAGTGTGCACTGCTCGATAGGTTTAATACTCCACAGGTGTTGCTGTCTGCTGTAACTAAGGGTCTGGCGGATGTCTGTGTGTTTCCTGACTGAGGTTGAACCTGAAGGCCTTTGCAACATCTTCAACTGAACCATATTTTAGATCAGAGCCGGGTCACATCCTCGGTCACTATATTCTCAATTAACGTAATCCACTGTTCTCCTTTGAACAAAACCATCAATCAATGTTGTGGTGACCAAAGGTAGACCAGGTTTTTTTTTTACTGCGCAAAATCATCTTGTAGACGTTTGGCATAGCTGTGGTAAGAGAGGGGAGAGTCTGGAGCAGTGTGAGAGGAGCCGATAGAGTACCCTAGATCCCCTTAATGGCGCTGTGGTCTGCTGCAGTAAATAAAGTGGAAAAGCAGCCACGGGGGTCACAGAGTGGACCAATCAAAAGAGAGGAGGTTAAAAGGCTGTGGATGCGGAAAAGGGGAGGGGGAAGGATGGAGTGCAAGTCCAGAATAAATGGAGATTTGGAACAGGAAGCGCAGAGAGCCGGTGCAAGCAGCAGAGAGGTAATGAGTCGAGGTAACCCATAATCTGGAGGTTTTCATCGGTGTGTGGCTGGAGTGCAGACACTCCATTCTCCCAATCCCACAATGGGTGTGTGGGGAAAAGCACCGAGTGTGGTGTGGTTGAGCTGCTGCAGCTTAGGATGATGTCAGAGCATATAGATGCTAAACCTTCCTGTGCGCTTGTCAAAAAAAACACCTCTGCTTGTTATTGAATAACAAGACAACAACAGTAATTGAGCAGTCGAGTGTCATGGTTTGATTATCTGTCAGTTGCTGTCTCTCCCGGGAACGTCGTAAGATGAAGAAACAGTGTGTCCCTTCATGTTTTTCATCTTGCTCCACTGTCGCTTTCCAACACACATGTCACCATCACTCATAGCCCGTGTGTCTGATCATCCATGAGCTTAAAAAAACATGAGCTATGGATGACTGGGCTTCAGCAGAGGGAGGCCTGTTGGTGCTGGTTTGGGAAATGGTTGAAGGACGAATGGCTCACAAGGAGTGACATCCTCGCCCCCCTCCAGGGAGAGAGGGAGGGAGGCACCAGTGCATGGAAAAGGGGAGGTGGTGTCCGATGGGTGCTGGCTGGGACTCCTACCCGCCAACCCCCGCCACCACTATGCTCAGTCAACCTCAGTGCCACCCAGGCCCTAATCAGCAGGATGCAGAGCATCTCCAGGGGCAGCCAAGCCAAGCCCCAGCTGCCTGGTGACTCCCTATGCCCCTTCTCTCTCCCTTTCTTTCTACTCACTCTGGTCCAAAGCATAAACACACACACAGACACTTCCTTAGCTGCTTCCTACACTCGTGTCCCTGTGTCATTATTGACTCATTCTCCTTGACTGCACCTCACCCATCCAGCGCCTGCACTCATTAACACTGTGCAGCGGGGACTATAACATGCTCTATCCTCTAAGATAACAAAATTTCACTGCAACAAAGACTAAGAGAAGCAACTGTGCAAAAACTCCCTGAAGATACAGTATATGCTCTCCTTCATTCTACCCTCTAGCATGTACACATGATTGCGTAATCCTTATAGATTTATCTTTCTATCAACTGCCATGCTTCCAGTGGTTTCCACTGTCATGACACCCTCAAGATATTGCGACTGACCGCACATGCAGGCACATAAATCACTCCTCAAAAGTAAGACTAAAGTGTGAGCTATGCGAGTGAAGGGGGAGGTGTGACAGTAAAGCAGCTGTCATCATATTTCCTCCATGACTACTACTTACTAATAATTGCTCGACATACACAGTAAGACTTGAAAACATCCTCGCAAAGTTGGCAATAAATCGGCGCCCGTGTAGAATGAAATAAACACCCCGAGTCATCGATCTAAATCAGGACAACACTGTGTATGCAAAGAGACACAGGACGCTTACTCATGAATTTTGTTCTCGGGCCCCCAGAGTGAGTCACAAAGTGGTGTAAACTAAATGAAAAGCAGCCTCACCTGCCACAGCTGTGCATGGCAGAGCAAGTCTGGTCAGCCTCACGGGTAAAATGTTGATTCACCCGCATGTGGATACACAAAGGTTTGTAATGAAGGAGAGTAATTGGCTGTATTTACAGAGAAAACCTGAAGTCTGACAGGCCTGTGTATAACACCACGTCGGCCAACAGCTGTCAAGCGCGTTTGACATCGAGCAGACCAGGATGTGTTGACAACATCTATTTACAAAACAGCTTTGGCACTTACAATGTCTAATGCTAAAGTGTGTGACAAGGAAAGACCACCAACCTGACTGTACTGGACCAAAAAAATTGTTTTCTCAGGGTGCAGTGTTTGGCTGCAGAATAAGATCTGCTACCTGAAATCTTTAAATCCAGTTCATAACAAAATCATCATCAGTGAACGCCACTGTGTTAAGATGCACCTTTATTTTGAATTGACGACATTAAAGGCAAATTGACACTTAACCTTAAGGACACACGAACACATGCACACTGCTAGATCCCCACCTTGAGTAAACCTAGATGTCAGCGCAAGTGTGATGACAGTGTAGCAGAGAAAGGAGCTCTGTGCTGCCGGCGAGGCTGACGTGTGCTCTTTAAGTGTTCGCCAAGCACAATAGTGAGAGGCGATGGTCCTGCTCTATACTAATTGAGTCAGCATGCACTGCTGCTGCTTAGGGCGACCTTTTGCAGAAGTAGATTGACTCCTGGCTTCAGGGAACATTTATAAATCAGCATACAAGCACATGCAAAAACATAAAGACAGTTGTGTGTGTATACAGAAGTGACAGAAATGGCTTGAGGGCTTTTGAGATCTGCTTAAGTGGCCTAACAAGTTTGCAGAGGTGACGTAAAGACACTGAATTTTCTGTAAGTTTAAAACAATTTACTGGTAGGTTATTTTTACTGTGGTTAATCTTCTGGGGCAAACGTTAGTAGACAAAGACAGATTGCTCAGTTCTGATTTTCTTGGGAGATCTGATGTGAGTCACATATTAATTCTGCAGAATGAGCCACAGAGATTTTTGCAGATGATAATGATCTGAAAGGAAGTTTACAAGTACAGAATTAAGTCTGACCACTCAAATCTGATTTGATTTTTCTGAAGGAAAAAAGCAAGAAAGAAATGTCATGGCTGCTCTGACTTTGCTCTGAGACTTTATGGTGTCAAAAAGTCAGCAACAGCCAAACTTCCATGTCACTAGTTTGTTGTTGGACAGAAAAAAAAATACTGCCATTAATCAGTCAGCCTGCACTTCTCTGCCTGTTCCCACTTATGCTGTAATGACAGCAAATTATTACACAGTTCAAATACACAAAGCTAACCTTGTTTCTGATAAACACAAGTGTGTACAGTGACTCTAAAAAGAACATTTCCTGGCTAACATAGTGCTGGTGACATACCTGTACTACAGGGTGGCTGCCACACAGCGCCTTCACCGCCCCTCGGCTGCCTTCGGTCTCATAGTGGGCCCTGTGGTGGGACTTTGGCTGCACCTCAATCTGTAGGCTGTACGGGCCGGAGCAGGACGGAAGCTGCCAGTCAAGAGCTGGCAGAGATGGGCTGCAATAAAATGACATCTTTTATTAGGATAAAATAGCAATACACAAAATGTCTGTTAATGCTAACTAATATAGCTTTGTAGTGATTTAACTTATAAAGATTTGCACTTCCTGTGCTCAACACATACTCTCTGGTTATTCTTTGCTCAAAAACAGGAAGTGCTGTGATTTGCATTTCCTCTTTGCTTGAAATAAAACCACAGAGGATGATTGTCTTTTTATCTTTTTTCTCTCTTTTTTATTCTATTCTATTCTTAAAACTGCAGACACATTTGATTTGCCAAAGTAGAAACTGCGGGGTTGCATTTTTTTCCGCGGTTCCATCACTGGAATCAGAAAGTTCTAAACTTGCTTTAAATTAGCCTCAAATTAGGACACTTTAGTGTAATCCAACTGGCTTGATCCTTCTCCATGTCATCATGGTCTGTAATCTAATCAATTGAAGTCATTCGTTGACGTGTGTAATTCCATGGGCCTGGGTAATAATTAGTGGCCCTTTTTTATGAAAAATAAATGAGAGACGAATGTGCCCTGGTTAGAGAGCAGTGTGTTTTGTATTATGGTGTGACAGGTGGAAACAGACACGGGGAGTTAAGAAAGTGACAGTGGGAGGAAAAGACATTTCTAGGGCACAAAAACAAATGTCACACACAACGGCAATCAGTCTGTCCCTTGATGCAGTTATTATCCATTCCATATTGACAACTGTAAAATTATAAAGCACAGCCATGGTAGTATTAAAGGAGCTTAATACGATATCCAGAGCTTTAATAAAGCAGAAAACTCTTTGCTTTGTAAAGATATAGTGGAGTAATGCGTCGTGAGCAGAGAATGAGGTCACACTACATCTGAGTATGTTGCAATTTGAGCTTCTCTGTTCTTTGTTGTGGTAGATGGTCTAGCCACATGTGCGTGTTAGTGCATGCGTGTCCTTGTGTGTGTATCTCCACTGTGCTTATACTCGCGGAAGCATAGTGCCCACACCCAGTCCCTGCACGGTTTACACTGTTAGCTCTGTCAGCACTGTTGCTCTTGTGAGCTCTGTCGGTGCTGTTAGCATCGTTAGCTGCCAGCTTCAGCCTCAGTCACCTCTATGTTGAGAGCTGTGTGCAGACAACCTCTGAATTATTTGTTTTTACAATTTTAACTTGCATTATTTTTGCTTGCACTCCATACATCTTAGGTATGCAGGCTCAGGGACTGTGCTGGACCATATGAATGCTTGTGTTTTTGAATATAGTGTTATTTATTTATGTTGCACCTCAATCCCAGAGGAATGCTCTCATTCTGCGTTGCTTAGAGATGTATGGTAAAATTACAGTAAACTGGATTGATTGACTCTGAACATCATATAGAGCTCCTTTAAAGACAGGGGAGTTATACCATGGAATAAGGTCAGCAAGCGCACCCTGCCTTGGAGCATGATATCTCTTTCTGAGAGCTACAGCTGGCCTCCCTTAACATCATTGTTCTCTGGGATGGAGAGTCAGAGCTTCCCATGTGAACACCGTGGAGATATCTAAACCAAAACAAACATGTGCAAGACAATATTTCGCCATGCCGGATGCCTGGTAAACGCAAACCCCTGACCTGAAGGGTGGCTCAGCTGAAAACAATCTCTGGCATCTCTGTGGAACTTGCAGGCTGTTTGTTGACCCAAAACGAACTGATTTCCCCCCACGGGGCTTTATCTGCCCAGTCAGTGCATGACATCAGGTTAGCTACACAGAAAGAGATGGGCTGATGGCGCGACAGGCCACAGCAGCGAGCCGGCTGATTAACCCACAGACTGCTTCCCCTTCAGTCAGGCCTGTCACCATTACTTCCTGTTGCTCGCTATCTTAATCAAACACTTGATTTCCGACAGAAGAGTGTGTTATTGGCTTGGGAAAAAAAGTGGACACAATTGAAAATGAAAAAGGCTTGTTTTGCTCAAAAGTCAAAATCAATGATATAGTTGAGTGCATGTGTGTATTTGTGTGATTGTGTCTATGTGTGTTATTATGTTCGTGTGGGGGTTGCCATAGCAACAGTGCCACACACATGCTGGGCAACTCCTCCCTGTGAAATATGATTTATGAAATAGTTTTCATCTTCAAAGAGAACTCCTTTGGAAGTGAAGAGCATGCAACTTTTGGATTTCTGCCTTTTGATATGGCCTTTGAAGATTAAAAACTACTGTAAAACTCAAAATCTTGTCCTTGCAATAAATTAACCACACTGACTGGACACAAATAGACAATGGAGCGAAGGAGTGGCATTATTGGATGAATTGTTTTTCCTTTGCACTCTCAAGTATTTAATCGGCAGAATGATAGAAGCACCGGTGATTGCTTCAATGCCTTCTCAAGGCAGTTTAGACACAGGACTAAAGGGTCAGTTTTACACAGTTCAGCTTTTTTACAGTTCTACTGTGTTGCTGGAGCAGCTCCACCTACCTGAGGTAAGGCTTGGGTTTAGACCACGGGTATGGGTGCTGGGGCACATCCAGGAACCCTCCACAGTAGTTCTCCTTCTTTAGGGCCAAGCGGGAGGGGTAGTCCTCATGGCAGAGCTCCCCCTCAGGACCCAGCACTTCGCCACCGGGCTCCACCTTCAGGCTCATGGAGGCTGAGTGGTCGAGCATAGTCTTCCGTGTCTTGATCGGGATTCCTTCCCCCATGTCGACCACTCCATCTGTGGTGAGAGCGTTAATGGCGGCCACGATGGCAGAGTTGGTGTACTGGTTGGTGTTGGCAAGCCAGTTCTCATCCGTGACGCTGACCCTGGGTGACCCATGTGGGGACGGGGTGGGCGACTGGTTGGGCGAGCAGGATGTCTGACGGTAGGTGGTGCCATTGAAGCTGTACTTTCTCTTCCCAATGCTGCCGCCACCACCGCCGTTGCCTCCACCGCCTCCACTGCAGGAAGGGGAGTTAGGCCTGGAGCCACGAGGTTGTGCTGGCCAGCCTTCCTCTGCCACGGCTCCTATCTGAGGCGAGGTGGAGGGTGAATGGTGAGGGGAAGCTACAGGGCCGCTGGCATGTGGGCAAGACATGAGCGATGATGAGCCTTTGGGAGATACGCAGGGAGACTGCCAGGGGGAGGTCTGTGGGGAGTTGTCATAATTGTAGAAGCCTGACTCGTAAGAGGACGCCTCCGAGTTGCAGCTACGTGAGGAAATGCTACTTGCGGGGCTGAGGCAGCTGGGATCACGGTAGCCGTCGGCATTGGGCAGTGTCAGCGTCACAATGGAGTTAACGCCTCGTTTGATGATGTGGTCCTCACTGCTGCTCTCTTCAACCTCATCCTCGGGATACTGGCTGTAGGCAGTGATCTCAATACGGGGGCTTTCCAGGGCAGGGGCCCCACTGGGTCTCAGGCCGTGGGGCAGGTAGTAGCCTGATGCTGCATGGTTATCATTTTGGAGGCTGTAGCCTGTCTGGTGGCAAGAGGAAACTGAGATGACTGGGCTGGACTGTAAGGTGTGGTACTGGGTGGCCAGACAAGGGTTGCCCATGCCCAGTGGAAGGGACAAGCTGACATTTGGTGTGTAGCTGTATGCATCTGGAAAAAAAAGAGTATATTGTAAGTATATGGAAGTATGACAAAATGCCACTGCAAATGCTCAGAACCATTACATTATGGCGGTAATTAAGTCTGATTACATTTTAGAACAATACCCCTACACAGATCTTACCAATATGCCTCACAGCGAATGACTGCCTGCCTTCTTTACAAACATCTGGAGAAGCTTAGCAATCATCTCTGAGCAGTTACTGTATGTGGTTGCTGTGTAGTCGCAAGTTGCACAGCCACTCTGTTTGTTTGATCAGTTCATCTAAGGCTCTATTTGGCACTCCCTGCTGTCATATGTACTCTACACGAATTCCTCCAGCAGCGCTGATGGATGCTTTATTTGATTGATTGCATCACTCACTGAGTGAATTAGGCCCTCCCCTGTGGAAAACTGACAGCACTCTCGCATCGCTCTGAGCTTGTGATTAAGTCAAAGAGAGTTTGCTGCAGCGTTACACACAGATGCGCCGTGGTACACACACACACAAACGAAAGGGCACGCACAAGCAAGCGCGCAAGGAAATAACTGGCAGACAAGTGCAATGACATACAAACTCAGTCAGTGGAGGCACATGTAGCCTGGCAGGTATGCCACTTCAGTTAGCCTTGTAGCGTCTGACTGCTGTGTCAACAGTTGTAATCCTCACGTCTTTTATTGATAACGTCAATGAGGGTAAAAGTGGTCGACGAATGAATACCACTCAGTCTGAAACCCCGTGAAGGGCATTCCCCTTGATGCAGCGCGCTATATTTGTTAACCACAATGCTGCGCATCACATGAAATGATGAATCTGTCACACACCGCGTAATATGTGGGTAGGCAGTCTAAAATTAGTTTATGAGAGTCTATTTTCAGAAGTGATAATGCGGTGTACATCAGACAAGTTCAATATATCACAAGTTCACTGAAGCCTAGGACACCTTGTTATAGGTTGCCAGTACCAATTGACACATATTACTCACAAAACAGAGACTTCAGAAAGTTATTATGAAATTATAATAAAATGAATCATCTTTTCTGGGGTTAGCAGACTGCTAAATGCAGACTCTTTTACACAGAGACACACTAACTTCTAAAGTCTCTTTGATCCCAGAACGCAGGAGTGCCCTCACACTCTGCAACATACAGGACATACAATAAAGAAAAGACGCCCTCCACTGCCCTCGAGTACCCACCTCTCTCAGGTACATCCTGGACACCTTGGCTGTACTCAAACACATAGCTGAAATCAAACTCCTGCTCTTCATGTGGGAAACTCATCTCGGCCCCAGTGATCATACACTAAGTTTCGACATAAACACTAGCGTATCCCTTGAGCTCAGTCTCCTCTGATGCTTTTCTCCTCTGGTTTACCCTCTTCTAGTGCTGAACAGATGATAATCTCCTGCCCACTCCACCCGGTGTGACACACCTCCTACTTCAGGCCTGACTGACTTTGCTTAGAGTTGCAGCTGTTATTCTTTTGTTTTTTTTCCCCCTTTTGAATGTGTGCGCAGATCAGTGAGCTTCGCCGCAACATACTTGACTTCTTCTGCCACCCACTCAAACACACGCACTGGGGCTTTCACTCTTGTGTGCTGCATGATCTTGAAACTTGGCTTTTTCCGGGTCACACACATCACGTCTGCTGAACTAACAAAATCATCCCAGATCATAATTTTGTGGGGTGAAACAAATGAAAGAAAAAGAAAATGACTCACTCTTGCACTCAATTCAAAGCCTCTACAGTTGTTTGCAGTGCATTCAAAATGCGGCGCAAGCAGAGTTAATTTGAAAACACTGACTATTGCACAGATTATAGCGTGCTCTTTCTGTCCTCCACAATTTTTCTCAATTATGCTATCACGATCAAAACGCTCCCACCCCACAACCAAACCAGCGTGACTAAAGAATGGATGGGCTTATCCACAGGGATTGTGGTCGAGGCTGGGCTCAGACTGACGGGACCTCAGGGAGAGATAGGTGGTCGCCCACAGAAGTCATCTGCAGCCTCTGGAACTAAGAACCCAGGGGCCACTTATCACACATGGCTGCCTATGGGCTATGGCAAAACACCAGTAAAGTGTGTGGTGTGTGTGCTTGTGTCTACATGTCTATGTGTCTGAGTTTATGTATGATAATCAAGCAGCCCTCGGCATATTGCTGGAGCTGTGTGTGGTTAAGCACGTCTCATTGTCAAGCAAGCTACCCGGCATCCCTGAACGCACAGATCACAGCTCCCTCTCTCTCACACTCACACACACACACACACACACACACACACACACGTCTGTTACCAATTATAAGGCTTAGGACTGAGAGACTGAAATGAATAATAATACAGCCCGCACCCGTCCGCCTGAAACCTCAAAGACAAAATGAAATTACCAAAATCCACAAAAAGCCAGTTACATCAGCACTGGAAGACTCTTTGAATTATGACAAGACAGACTATCAATGACTTCTGACGGACCAAATCAAATTTTGCTACCATAAATGCTGAATCAAAGCTTTTAAAACAAAACCAAGCCTTTCACTCTAATGGTAAACCAACGCGGAATCTTTAGGCAACCCCTGGTGTTGCTGTTCTGTGGTTGACCTCTGACCTTGCTGTGCATTTGGAGAATAAACTCCCTGATTTTTAATTTTCTTTAAAAAAAAAAAGAACCTCTTTTCAAGCGTTACATCAAGTTGTTGACAGCAACAGTGTGACCCCCATCAACATTCTTTGCACATGATGAGCAGCACCTGCACAGACAGCTGGAGACACCTAATGGTGTGGATGTTAAATGGGTGCATGCCACTCAATTTACTTGAGTACGTGCTAATTTGATCCTCATGCAGAGCAAAGATCAAGAGAAAGGTGTCTGCCACGAATGTGGTGGCTAGTTAGAAAAAATAGTAACACACCCCGGGATCATTTAAGATGGTTTCTCAAAATTAAGAGTTTTAACCTTTAATAAGAAGTAAGAATTTATCAAAGTGGCCAAATAACACTATAGCCAGTCAGCTGCCCAGTTTAATATTTGCAGGTGGATTATTTATTTTTATTCATCAAAAATAAAAAATAAATAAATAAATAAATAAAATTGTAGTTGTAGTTTACCTTAACTGACAGCCCTTTCCTCTGTAATATGAGTTTACTAAATGCTTCACCCAGACTTTACAGCAGTGCACAAGGTCCCTATCAGTTTGCATCATAGCCGCAGCACCTGGTGTAAACCTTTACGGCTTTGACAGCAAATTTATGTTTGTGTGCTACATTAAACTTAAAGCAATATATTTTACCTTCCTCTGCAGACTTCATATCGGCGGCGAGAGAGGTGAGAAAGTGGAGTCCCCGCTCCTCACCGGCTGCTGCTCCAAAGCTAAACTTGGAATTGACGCTCAGGCAGAAGGTATCCTGCATTCAACAAGCGATGCGCACCAACTTTCTCCGGCTGTGAGACTGCAATGCCGATGACAACGTTGCAACAGCTAGATCACTTCACACACCATCAAATAAAAGCATAATTCGGGCGAAGTTAAAGCAAAGCGAGTGTACAAGTTGGAAACACAGCGCGGTGTAGCGTGAACGGGGAGAAATGTTAGTAGTGGTGGATCGGGAGACCGGCGCAGGTAGGGCTGCTGAGGGGACCGCGGCTGAGGTGAGTTTGGCTCTCTTCAGCTCAATGAAGGTTTTCAAGAGTCTCCCCAGGTCGATGACGCAGCGCGGTTTGTCAGAGGGGCCGGCTCCGGTGCTTTTAAAGCTGGAAAACACCCTCCGTCCTCCCGTCAGTGCGCCGCCCATACAGGGATGATGACGCGACCGGCTCCTGCAACCTCCTGGACCGCCTGATGATGTCTTCTACCCAGGGATCCCATCGGTGGAGGTGGGAGGTGTGTGAGATATGTGTGTGTGCGTGCGTGCGTGTGTGTGTGAGAGAGAGAGAGCGACAGAGAGAGAAGCAGAGAGGGACCCTGCCTGCCACAAAGTTTATTTCTACTGCTGCAATTTTTTAGTCTTTTTACATCACCTATTTGGTGGTATACTTCTATTGTAAACACAATACTGCCACTATAACCATCCATAACACCTAGGCTACTGATATTCAGTGTTAGATTAAAAATACATTTAAATTCTGAAACAATTTCCACAAGTCAAAATGGATGCTGAATGGCCCCAAGCTGTCAATTAAACACTTTATTTATTATATTTCTGCCATGAATTAATTGAAATAACTGCCAATTTCTTTATTTCTGGTTATTATTTAATAATGAAAATATATCTAACAAAACAATCTCAGCACAAGGTCCATTTAGCTGCAGTTCAGGAGCTTTCAATGGGGCAAACTCCTCTCAGTAGATGGAGTTTGCCCAGTGTACATGGAGTTTTAGATGTTTTCTTTAAAGCTACAGTTGGTAACTTCTATGAAAATGACTTTTGTCATATTTGCTGAAACTGTAGCTATATTCTAAAAGAAGGACACAAGATCTTTGGGATAGTCTGTGTCTCTCCTCCTCTTCCTACTGCCTCTAATGACATAAGTTTGTAACCCAGCTGCCATGTTGGAGACAGTCAGACAAAGTACTAAACACTGTCTACTGGATGGACCAGCTTTCTCATTTTACAGCACAACAGTACACTAAAACAGTGGTTTTCAAACTTTTTTGCCCAAGGCACACTAAAGGGCGAGCCAAAATCTGTGCACAATAGCTTCTGTAACGTGTGTTATCACTCTTGTCGTCTTCACTAGTGCTTTGTTGTAATTTGCTCTATGCAGTAAAGTGATCCATTGTCCCACTCACTGCTTTCTACTTTTAAATGTTGTCATCCCTCACACTAGCTGCCAATCAGGGCTTTTAATGTGTCTCACACCTATAATTCCCATGCACAATCGGTGACTAACAGGTTCCTCCTGAATGTTTTTCCAAATTACATTAAATTAAATTACATTTTAAGCTAGAGTTTGCCTCTTTATTAGGAAATGGGTGTGCACAACATAGCCTACTGATACAGTGAACTTAGAATTCTTTTTGCATAACAAAGATAAGCCGTACAAGTGCCACAACTGTAACTGTGGTTATAAAGATGTGTGATTATCACAAAATCCCACAGCACACCTGAATTTGCATCATGGCACACCATTTAAGAACCACTGCACTAGAATATGTTTCTGAAAACACTGAGGCGAGAAAAAGGCAAAAGTTACAGAATCTTGATTCATGTTTGATCAGCTTAGTTTGACAGTTCATGAGAAATAATTGACATGATTGGCAGCTACGGCAGCTTTTTTTTTTTTTACAGATTATCTGTCTCTTTTAGTGCTGTGTGAATGTACTAGCAGTTTCAGCAAATATCACAAAAGTTATTCTGTGTAAAAGTTACCAGCTGTATGTTACTCTGGATATAGATAAAGTTGATTGATGAATCTCATTCCAAAGTCATCAGATACCAATGTTCTGGGTTGGTGGTTTGGTCGGACAATGAACCCAAAGCGTCGGTGCTTGACATCCTGGGAATGAGCCTCAACAATCAGCTCACTCTAGAGTTACATACAGCACAGTAAATGGCCTGTGTTCCATCATAGCTTGCAGCCAATAGCACTGAATTGGGGTTTTCTGAGGTCAAATGCCACTAGATTGCAGTCCCTGTTGATTATCAATAAATCTCCTGATTAATTTCAGCATAAGTGTCAGTTTGCCTGATATATAAACTTACCATAGCTCAGTGGTAGCTACTGGATACATGCAATGTAGATCATTTCCCCCCATGTTTTTCTGCAGCTGACCCTGACCAGTGACTTCCCTACAGAGAAAAGAGGAGGAAGAGGGGTTCCCCTTAAACGAACAACAAAGTATCATATTGCAGTAACTTCTACTGATATGAATATAATGTCCTTCCTCGTTAATGTTGGCAACGCTGACATTATATCATCATTAACATTATTCAAACATTCAGCGTATCCCCATGATCAAAATCAAAACACAAACGCTATCAAATTTCATCTCCAAATGCGTTTTCCAAGTGTTTGAGGGAAATACGGTTTCACAGATTCGCCCAAAATAACCATCCTGAACCGCTGAGAGCACAAACACACCGTGTTCCTCATCTCTGCTTTCCACTACTTTGTATCAAGTCAGTCCCCCGTGAATCTGCGGGCATAATGCCTTATGCTTTGCCTATGTTAAGGGAAAATACTGGCATTCACTATTCAGCATATTTTCTTAATTGCACTACTATTACCATTTATCAAAGTAATAGTTCCCATTATATGACTTTGTTGATATATTTTGGGGTCATAAAGTGATACTGAAAGGTGAAAGCACATGCTGGTGGATAAGACATGGCTGACACGTGCTCTAGGCATGCACACATTGCAGATATACACATTTAAATGGACATTTCTAAGCACTGAAATGGCGCTCACTCAATGCTGCCAACTGCAGAGATTTCCTGACAGGAACACTGAAGCAATTGGCAGAATAATGGACACTGGGAGCTAACATGGACAAATTAAGTTTTAATTTGTAATGATAATGTGTCATTATGTTACTTGATGGGGCTTTCAAAATTAACAGGGTCTGATGAGTGGTACCACTGAATGTACATCTTTTGGCAAGTGCAAAGCACTGAAAAATAGAGACTCCATTATGTGAGCTACAAATAGTATGGAAATGATAATGACAAGTAAAAAAAAAAAAAAAAAAAACCTCAATATTACAAGTAGAGCAGGAGTGCTGGTAGCTGCCATGAGTGCAATTAACAATGGCTTAGACAAGCTACAATGTAATTCCTTTTGAATGGAGGCCAGATTTAAAGAGAAAAATGACTCCCTTGAGTCTGAAATGTAGCTGGCAAGCTCGAGGATGATCACACATAATCAGAAGCAGACTGCCTTTTGGGGGCAGGCAGGCAGGCAGGCTGTGGGGCAAGCGTGAGCAGACTGCACGGGGGGAAAGTAATAGTACGCTGTGTTTTCTTTGCCTACAGTAGCTCTCTGGCGTCAGCTGCGGCTTGGCCGATGCGCACGTGTGAGCGCAAAGATGAAAAAGCAGCATCACATAGTTGAGGAGATGAATTACGATACAAACCAGCGGTAGGAAAAAAGTAGCTGCTCAACTGATTGGCACTGTCAGTGGGATGGGCTTGCCCCTGGTTGTTGAACAACTTTAAAACCCTGTGGTGTGGCATGGCTCAATGGCAGTCTGAAGGCTTATCTTGATGGATTCTGTGCTACTGAGTAAAGTACCATTAGCTGCCGTGTCTGTCAACAATGTCTATAGCAACAGACATTATAGCCGTCAGGTCATTAAGCAGTTTATACTTCATTAAAAACAATGCGTGTAATCTAAAAACCTGATGGTGTCATGCTTCTCCTAATGAACGTGTGATAAAACTAACTTTACCTTTACTTCTGGATTAGTTCATATGTCTGGCTTCAAATCCCTGCCACAGTTTAACTACACATGAGGTAATATTTTTATGTAAAAGACATCCATACTGTGACTGTGTTGACTTGCCAAAATACACCCTACAGTGTTGGACTCTTTTGCACTCTCAGGAAGGGCCAAATCATAACTTAACAGAGGTTCAAATCCAAAGTGTGTCCTAAACAGCAGTGAATGAAAAAGCTGTTAGCTGGTCTCTTTCCTTCCTGCAAAGTCACCACAGATGGGCAAAGTAACATAGCAGGCTGTTCTCATGTACTGTTCATACATTTTCCTATGAAAAGTAATGCGCCAAAATTTGTACATAGCTTATGTAATCATGAGCCAGCAATTCATGCATAACCCACAAATTTAGGAACACTGCAACTCAGTGGCATAAGGTAGTTACGATAGACCCCAGCGCATATCATCTCATTAAATGATCAGAGACTTGACATTGGATAACATCAATATACATATTACCTAGCAATCATCACTGCATATCTATATAGCAAAAAATACCAGTGAAGATAAGAAATTAAGAAATTATTAATTCAACAATCTTAATTATTCATAGAATAAGCATATTATTTTGTTATAGAAAAAAAGAAAAAAACCCAAACTTTTTCAAGGGCATATAAAGCACACAGCACTGTTTTTAATTGAATGCGAGTTATTTTTTGAACACGTGTTCTTTCAAGGTGGCAATCACTCATAAGGGCCCATTCTTCACCCTACACATTATTGGAAGGCCCACTGTATCTATGGGCCCCCACCTCATGGGCCCCAGTGCAACCGTACTGCCCGCAGGGTCTATATTTAGGCCCCTGCTGTGACCACCTAACTTAAGCGCTGATGGGAGTACAAAAGGATGCAGTTCCCATTATGAGGCAGGCTGGGGTCGTACATGGGTCACAAAACACAGGACTTTCCCCAGGAGATCAGTGTTCAGAGCCACATGAACTTTGAGTTATTTTAAGGTACGCTGTCACCATATTTCTTTTCCTAAACCTAACCAGAATACCTCCACATACCTGAACCTAACCTACGTAACTTTTCTCTAAGTTTGTAACTTTGTTAAATATGTTAAGTTAATTGTGGGCACTAATTCGTAAGATGTCATACGAACTGTTGTGTGTGCATTTTCGTAGAATATCAAATAAACTGTCAATGTGTCCTCATGCAATGGTTTGAATGATATACTAAGAAAATGCACACAAAACAGTTTGTATCACATCCTGGGAATTAGCAGCCCATGAATGATGTAACATCCTTAACATAAAATTAAGTAATAAAGGGAAGTAATTGTGGTTATGTTTAGAAAAAGACATGGTGAAAACGTA